ACCCACAGAATTTCTACGGCGACACGAGATGACATGAAATGAATCATAAACTGTCTCTCAGAGACCGGTATTTGTACGCTTTGCCGAGGAATATTTTATCGCCTTTTTCCCACTGTGCGACAATATTTCCGGATCTTGCGGTTTGCGGTTTCGCACACATCGAGAACTTGTGCTTTGATCCTCTTCGCCTGAGTGATGTAAATGTCGAAGAGCACGTCTGATGACAGATCTTGTGTTGTAACTAGCCACGAGTATCTTTATGATATTCTTTTTCCGTTTGTCAGTCGCGTCCTGAGTGTCACCTTTTCGTGACTAATGCCAGTTTCTGGCAAGCCCACCTGATAGCCTGTACTTATGGCCCTGGTAATGTAGTTTTGGCGAGTTTCGCAGACAGTTCTTTCAGTTTGCCAACCTTTGTAGACTATATCCTTCGTTCTACATATCCTTCAATCAGCCCTTCGAGATCCAGAAGAGGCGCCTGCTGAGCTCTTGATCGCGCTAGGGCTCACTAAGCTGTATCAGATTTCATGGCGTCACCCTGCCGAACATTGCTCTCTGCGACATATCCAGCCGGCTCACCAGGCAGAGAGTAATAAGATCAATATGTAACTACTGGCATACAGTAGAGTGACAGCACAGCTAGTGTTTAAGCTTGTTGACGCGTCAGTCTTTGCCGGAGTTCAAGATTCTGTTCAGTGACTGAAGATACCAGATGTCGGAAACAAACCACACAAGTGATGTTCCTTTGAAGGGTTGCTGGTATTAGGAGGCAGGACAAAATTTGGTGCATGCATGTAAAAAGTACCCTCGCCTGTTGGCTGCTTCTTACCCCTTCTACAGATTGAGAGGTCTGAATTGCGACGGCTGTACACGTGATAATTGCGTTAGAAGAATAGTATGGAGGGGAATATGGTATGGCAGGGAGCCCAGGGGCAGACCGAGGGCCATCTAGCTCACTATATTGAATGCTTGGCATCATCGCTCGAAGTGATCTTATCTGCGGAACTTGCCTGACTGACAGAGGAAACGACAGAAATAGCGCGTTGAGTTAATGAATGAACGAACGAATATAGTAAAGTGATATCAAGATGAATCCACTGGCAAGCTTTCCCTGTTTCCAAATATAATGAAGCCATTCAGGCTCCCTGGGGTCTTCTGTGGTGACAGTTTTCGTCATCGTTGCGCACAGCGACACGTATACAGAAAAAACTGTACTTAGTATGAAATGGCATAGACTATATATAAAAAATCAAACCAGTTTCACCAGACGGTGCTTTCCATTTTCTTAAACAGCCATGGCTTGTCTTCCGGTTATGCTATTTAACCCGGGCCATGAATGGCGTCGCGCGGTTCCTTTGACGATTTATGGCTCAAAAGCGCTCATGTTGTAACTGATATTCTAAAGGGCATTTAGCTTCTCACGCTTTCTTGGACATACCGCATGACTGCGTGGCACAATGTCTACAGTCTTTGCTGTGCTTGAGCAGGATCCGGTATTCTTTGAACTGTCACGCTGCTAAATGATAGG